ACATGAAGGTTTGTAACTGTATCTCACGGTGATTCAATAAAAAGAAAAAGAAATGCACTTAACACATATTTCTTGATATTCATTTTAAGTATCATGTTTCATATATAATATCCAATAAATATAATTTATATGCAAATGTAAAATTAAAATGTGTGTACTCATAGTCAATGGGAAACTGAGAAAAACAAAACCCAAGAAAGTAAAGATAAAAAGAACAAGTTATCTAACTTCCAGTGAATTGGCACAGATGATGCAGCTTAATGACAAAAGAAATATAAGTGAATAAATGGGTCTTTCTATTTTTCTGGCAATTCATATTTCCTTCCGTATGTGAAAGCAATTTCCTCATGTACTACCCCTCAGAGATCCTCCAGAGGAAAACAGAGACCAGATTAACAAATGCCTATTGTGAGATTGTTTATAATAGTCAAAAACCGGACACAAAACTATCAAGTTTCTATCATCAGGGATTTGACTACTTGAGCACAAAAGTAGGGAGTCCCACACAATATTTAACTAGAAAATGCTACACTTTGGTGCCATCATACAGAGAGGTCTTAAACCATAGATGAGGAAAAGTATGAGCTACAGGATGATGCAGAGAGTAAGTAAGTATACTCTCCACTAGGGTGCAATCTGTTGACTGATGATGGTAGTTTTTAGTTTGGGATTTTTATATACAGCATTCTTTATAATTATTTTTTCCATACTAAATTTTATGGAGAATCTGTGATTCATAATACTGTTCATCATAGTTTCATGCATGCAGAGTTCTAGCCCATACTCCCCACCAGAGAGTCTACTTCCTTCCACTAGTGGTCTATGGGTCTCCTCCATCCATTTCTTCCCCTGCCTCAAAAACTCAAGTCTGTGGATGCCTCTCCTGTTCCATTGCCTTTGTATCTCCTTTCAGAATCAAAATTGCAAACCACAATGCCCAAAAGAAGAGAGAGAGAGTGAGAGAGAGAGAGAGTGAGAGAGAGAGAGAGAGAGAGAGAGAAGAAAAGCACCTGCCCTAGAAGCAGGTAGGGGGTGGGGGTGGGGAGTGATGAGAGGGAACCTGGGGACACTGATGTGGGGAAATGTACACTGGTGGAAGAATGAGTGTTGGAACACTATGACTGAAATCCAACCATGAACAGCTTTGTAAGGGTCTCACAGTGATAAATTTTTTTTTAAATCTCCAAACAAAATTCCAGGTATCCTTGGGCCTTACTTATGCTCTAGGGAACAGCAAACCCTCATTAAAGTCTTCCCTCACATTCTGCTGCGTTCATGCTTCCTACACAGAAGTCCTCTGCCGATGGGGTCACCCTCGAGTGTCTGCGATATTGTCATGGGTCTCCCCCTAAAAAGGGGCCACAAGAAGGACTGATTCCTACCAGATGAGGCCTGGGCTGCCGGATCCCTCTCCCTCTCTTTCTGATCTTGGTCACTGCAGAATGCAGCTGTCTGCAAGGCAAGCAGAAGCTTTCCTTGGTCAGGAAATGGCAAGCTGGCCCCTCAGGTTCCTCAGTTCCTGGAATCATAAGGAAAAATGTCTGCTGCTCCAACCCCTATTGAAGACAGACTCTAGCTCCAGAGCGGTCTGCCCTGCTGCCCTATACACTTTCCCCTGGGCATCTTGAGAACCGTGCACCCTGTGGATCTGTGAGGGAGGACTTCCTTCTTTGAGGATGGCTTTCCCAGTTTTGTTCCGGGCAGAGTGATCAGGAGGAAGGAAAATATGCTAAATATTTTGTTGTAAGTAAAGGGAAGAAAAGCTATAAAAATTATTTACACCCAACAAAATTAGTAAAGCAACATAGATTCATTAAAATACAAACAACATAGGTGTATGGAACTAACAGGCAAAGTTCCCTCCTGGCCAATTTATTATTCCACATTTTACTGGATCCTCTCCATAGGGAGCAAATCTACTATCAATAGCTACTTCCAGGGTTCGAAGGAAAAATATAATGGGTTGGATGCTTGACTGTCCAGGTTTGATTCCTGGAACCTTGGGTACTGAGTCCATCCAGGAATGATCCCTGAGCACTGAGTTGAGCTTTTGGTGTGATCCTCAAACAGAGCAAAAGAAAAATTTTCAGAGGGAGTTATGAATACACAGACACACAAACTCACAAATACACACAGATAGGCACTACCCATTCACACACATGCTTAGCACACCCACAAGCGGAAGTAGGAATATTGAAGTTTCCTTTAAAAGTAAAAACTAGTACTCGGCAACACACTTTATTTACAGCTCTATTAAGGGACGGTAGCTCCATGTGATTGCTCATAGATTTATCTGGTCCTTTCTAACAACTTGGTATGATTATAACTGTACTCCATGACTTAATAATTACCCTTTTGATAGATGTACCCTTTTTCAAATTTTCTCTCTGTTGCAAACAATGCTTTAGGGAACACGTTCAGCCAAACATCCTTGCAAGCTTGATTATCTGTCATAGCATCTTTGGCTGCCCAAACAAAATGCCATAAACTGGGTGATACAAAGGACAGCTGCTTTTTAAGGTCTGGAGGTTGGAGTCTGCGTAGGGTGTGGCACAGGGAGGCTAAGGCAAGAGGCCTCTTTCCTATCTGGCCATGGGAGCTTCCTCACTGTGCTCTGACTGATGGAGAGCAAGACCCTCTGGCCCCCTTTAAATTAACTAATTATTATTATTATTATTTGGTGTGAGGGTGCTATTTCGAATGTAAGGAGTCACACTAGGATCCTGTCCACCCATTCCCTCTACAGGCACTGTGGCCAGTGATTGTCCTGCTGGAATTTAGGGTTTGAACAGGTTTGAGACAAGATATCTTCAATCCAGAATGATGTTTCTATAGAGTTTTTTCTACAATTAAAACCACCTTATTAAAGGATGGTTTTATATTTGTATAAAATAAATGGTTTTATTTATTTATATATAAATTTTATATTTGTAATTTTGATGGGTCTCCAAAACCATTAATAACAATTTATATTTCAATAGTGTGAAGAAAGGCTAATAATTTTATTTAACTTTTTGTGATTGAGGTTAAACACAACATTTCTCTTTTGAGGGAGTCTCTTAAGAAATGTCTGGGGCACAAAGTATGAGATTAATACCCAAGAATAGCTGAGATCAGCACCAGGAGGATTACTCCATAACTTAGAGGCCAGCCGGGTATCCTAGAGGAAAGGGCAGTTCAGATAGAGAAGGGAGCACCAAATAAAGGATGTTTGGAGGATCCTCCCAGGAGGGGAGATGCATGTCGAAAGTAGACTATGGACTGAACATGTTTGCCACTCAATGCCTCTTTTGCAGACCACAACACCCAAAAGGAGAGAGAGAACACAGGGGATTGCCCTGCCACAGAGACAGGGGGGATGGGGGGATGGGGGTGGGAGGGATATTATCCATGGTGGTGGAAAATGGGCACTGGTGGAGGGATGGGTATCTGATCATTGTATAATTGAAACCAAAGCACAAAAAAATTGTAAATTTACAACTGTAAAATAAAATAAAATAAAGGGAAAAAAAAGTAAAAAAAAAAAGAAAGAAATGTCTGGGGCACTCAGTCAATGCCTGCGTTGAATGCAGATTTCAAGATGCTAAGGGTTGTGAGGGGAGTAGGGGGTGGTGTTCGGAGGCCATGCCCAGTGATGACATGAGGGGCTGTGTGATGCCAGGGTGGGAAGTGAACCATGCATACAGCGGTCTACTGAGCCATCTCTTCAGTCCAACAAGTGGCTTCCTAATTTTTTGTAGTCATTTGTAACTTTCCATGTGTTCTATGTTTATATGCTGTCAAAGTTTTAGTGGGTGTACTTCAGTTTTCATGCATTGACTGAATTCACATTTTGTATTAATATCTCACTGTGAGATAACTACCACATTTTACTCCCCATGTAATTTTACAAATGTACCAAACACCACACCACCATCCTCCTGTTGTTCATCGATTTGCTCGAGCGGGCCCAGTAACGTCTCCATTTCGAGACTTGTTACTGTGTTTGGCATATTGAATACGTCACGGGGAGCTTGCCAGGCTTTGCTGTGTGGGCGAGATACTCTGCACGTCTCCTCTCATGGAGCTGGGAGTTTGCCAGACTCTCTGAGAGCGGCAGAGGAATCGAACCTGGCTGGGCCAGGCAGGCTGCGCACAAGGCAAACACCCTACCCACTGTGCTATCGCTCCAGCCCTACAAATGTAACTAGTTATTTTTTTTCAATACTATAAAAATGTAGGTGGACCTGGGGGTTAATCTTTTTCTTCATGAGATTTTGTCACTATGAATGAATGAGAATCATGTGACCACATGTGAATTCATAAATATTCATGTACACTTGATTCTGTATCTAGTGCAAATCTGAAGATTCTTCTTACCCATCTTTCTGTTCAGGCACATAAGCTGGAACCTCAGTTTCCTTGGCATTGCTGCTTTAATCTCAACACACAAATTTCCTCTCACAATGGGGAAAACTTTCCAGGTGGGTGAGTCAGGACTTGTTGCAGTGAAATGCATAAAGTCCTGGCTGATACAGTTTTCCCAGAAGTGGGGGGCAGTGTGGAGCAGGGGGGAAGCTGAACACTAGGACATACCCAAACACTTGGGGTTTGGGTGATCTGAGGAAATAGAGCCAGGCTAACCTGAGACACATCTCTCAGGAGGGAACCCTCCCAGCTCCATGAGAGAAGGAGACTTGCAGAGCGGATAGGAACAGGCACGGAGGGACCCAGGGTCCAGAAGGTCAGCCAGGACCACAACATACAAAGCCGCATTTCAGTCCACTCAGGCTGACGCCAAACCATTATCAGGCCCCTGGGTGAGGACTGGCAGTGGGGAAGAGGGGCATCTGGGACTCCCAGTGCCTGGGACTGCACTTTGAAATTTTGAACCATTTAACCTAATTAACTTAATTTTAAAGAATTAGTAAGGACAATTATTGTTTGATACTCATTAATAAAACACCAATTGATGAAGGTGATATTTCGCTATAAGGTACCAATGAGACAAGAACAATGAATGATATACATCTAAAATTTTAATGCTCAACGTACAATCATATTCTGATCAACAGTATAAACCATAGAAAAGAGAATCTTGCTTTTCAATTGTACAAATAGCAATTTCATAGCAAAACTTTACACTGTTAAAAGGTACCGTCTGTAGATGCCTTCGCTCATTTCAGTTGAAGTTCATTGCTTTGTCTCAGCCCTCTTCTGCTGAAGTCAGATCCATGGGATCTCTTAATTTCCAAGATATTCTACAGCAAGATGTTTCTGGAGCCAAGGTGAGTTAAGGGGCTTCTCTCACCCTCTCTTTTTCAAGAAGACAATATGTTTAACAATGCCTTCCTGTCTCCTGTGCCTGTGACAGGTGGGGACCCACGCAGGTGATTCTGCCAAGAGTCACACAACCTCCCACCACTCACAGTGATCGTGCAGATAAACACAGAGAGAAAGCATTATTAACCAGTGCAGTTTTAATTCCCGGATATGATGTATGGAAAAAAATGCAAAATGTGTCTTAAAGCAAGAATCCTTTGTTGTACTTTTCCAAGTCTTTTGATATCCTCTATGGTAAAGTATCTGAGAGGTCAAGGTCTCTTTCATCCGGGAAATAAAGGTCACTTGGTTGCTAAAGAGAGGGTGGTGAGTTCGCTGCACAAAAGCAAGAATGCCTCATTATCTTTATTTTACCACCAGTCAACCTTTAATAGAGGAAATGGGAGATGAATATCTGTTCTCTATTTCCCTTCCAGCTGTCAGCTCAATCTTTTCCTCTCTAGTGCTTGGGTATCTGTGTGGGAGCTGCTGGCCCTCTAGGTTTCTAAGTGGCAGATGTTAAGGCCATTTGGCTTAATGTTCTTAGACATGGGATCACCCCCTGAAATCTCTGCATTGGCAAAATTTCCTGTAAGTTCAAGCTCCAATGCTTAATCTCTAGGCTGGTGGTTCTTGGCCTTGGCTGAGTCTCAGAATGACTTGAGCTTTAAAAGATAAAAATGCCTGGGTTTCACCCCTTATGGCTTGTAGATCATGGACCTGGGTACAGGGGGGCCTCTGGATTTTCCCAAATTCCACAGCTAAGGTCACTGTGTGGGTGGGGTGGGAGCGGACTTCTTGACGGTGAAGGAAAAGCTTGGTGAGACAGGTGGACTTCATCAACATATGATCCAAATTAGTCACCAAAACATGCTGAACGTTAGGGGTTTGCAGAGACTTCTGCGCTATTGGTTGGTAAATGTCTATCAGTTGTAAATGTAAAAATAAAACAATTCATTTCAGAGTCAGATTAGCAAGTTTAAACAAAGTGCTATGTTATTGCCTTTTTACATTTACAGATAAGTGGAGGTCAGCATGCAATTGGGCTCATCTATCAGTAATTCTGGAAAGGAGTTCTCCATGACTGTCACTCTGGACAGACTCAATGGAAACTGCCACAGACCAGGACTAAATTATATGTGCATTCCGCCTTTTCTTATTTTATAAATATAAATGTACCATTCTCCTCACCAGGATAATCTAGCTTAGCTCAGTGATGAGGTTATGTCTTAAAAGACAGAGACCTTTCTCTCAGTTCAAGGAAATTCTCATTTCAAATTTTTATTCTGTTGTAGTCTCTCTAAAGTAAACTGTTTAGTAGAAAAATGAGTTTTTCTAAAAATATACCCTAAAAAATTCAGTGCTACATCAAGAGGATACTCCTCCTCAAAAAAAAAAATTACAAAAATAGACTGACATCTAGAGATCCTGTTGTCTGAATGTGTCATTTCAATAGTAAAAAAATATAACACCCCAATACACCAGTGCACTGGTAATTGAGGCACCAAACAGGAATCTATTTGGAGAGGTTTTATAGCCCCAGACAAGGAAATATAAACAGATCATTAAGTTGTAATAAAAATGTGTGCTTATCAAGGGAAAGAAACGCAACACAGACATAAGGGCAATTTCAATAGCTATCAGGTACGAGTCAAAAGCTTATTTCCTGGGAGGAGACAAATTTTCTAAATCTGTAGAAAATGCATGTTATTAGCACTTGATTGGTGTATGGACCAAGGTTTAGGACATTGGGGATTACATAAGAATCTTCATTCTACCCTGCCTCTTTTATTCTGGCCCCAACTGAGGCACAGTGCAGACACATATTCATATGCCTACCGATGACTGAAGAGATGAGGACTCAACTCTACCTGTTCATGAGGGTCACATGGAGTCCCCCAAGATTCTTATTTATTTGGTCTGAGACTCCTAACTTCCTTCTTCAAAACTGATCAGGGCATTGTAGCGGCAGGGGGAGTGGACTCTTGGTTACCATTCATACCTATTGGCCTTGTCTGTCTCTGTATAGTCACGTGAGAAAAGGGGTTGAAACCTACATTGCATGAGTCAAGAGGAAAGCCATCGACTGAGGGCTTTCTCCCACTACTGGGCCTTTTTTCCAGAATAATTCCGAGGGAGCATTGAAAGTTCCCAGAACCAGACTACCTTGGAGATGAGTTAAATCAGAAAACTTTTTGATAGAGATCCAGAAGCTGATAAGGGCAACAGCATATGTGAACAGGACCTTGCTGTAGTCATGCAGTTCAAAGTTGATTTTTGTCAAGAGTCGATGAGAGCTTTAGTGCAGAAATAGGAAATGTAAACAGATTCCTAAGCACTGTGGATTATCTGCGATGCAATGGGCAGCTCCCACAGAGCTTCTCACTATAAGGTCAGAGGCAGCGAGGCTCAGGTACAGAGACGGGAAGAGTTGTTTCTCATTACTTCCCAAGATGACAGGAGGATCTCCAGACGCACAAAAGGCTCCTCGGAACTTGGAGGTGATGCGCACTGGGACTGTGCCTGCTGTCAGTGGCAGCTCCAGACTCCCACTTGTCCCCTAGACTCTGAGGCTGGCCCTAGGAAAGGTCTCCTGATGGGGAGGAGCCACAGGCTGGGTCTCAGTGGCCTCTGCTATAAGGAAGAACTGAAGGGTCAGTATCTGCATGGGAATGTGGCCACGGGGGGCTGTGCTGTGGACAGCCTGGAGTCCTGAGGGGCCCTCCTGCCCTGCCCACAGGGGACAGTGAACTGGAAGCACCAACCCCTCATGAGACACCAAGACCTCCCAGAACACTGGAGTGAGGACATTATGGGAAACCCAATCTTAACATTAATAGGATTAAGCAATTATATTTTATCCAGGAAAACTAAAATACAAAGAAAAACCTTGAATAGCTGTCATGGATTTTATGCCATTTTAGTAAGATGTCTCAAATGACCAGAAAACTAGGCTTTAATGGCCACTGTCTGACCCTCAGGAGCTCTACCTTGGGGCTGTTTCTCACAAAGGAAAGAGGGAAGAGGCTCCGAATGGCTCATTTTACCCCAGTGAGCTCCAACTATAAGACTTGAGCTCTGAGGTGAGTAAGGAGAGCGGTTTCCCACCAATAGTATACACTACAGGTTCTGAGAGAGGCTGCTTCATCTCGCTAATTATTGAAATTCCAACAGAGACAGATGCACAGAAGCTGGGAGTGCTGCCGCTCTTTCTGGAACCCTTGATCAGTGTTCCTCAGGAAGAGATGGAGCACACTTCCATGTCCTGAGTCTAGACCCTCATCCGAACTCTGCTGTCCTCCCAGCGAGTGTGCCTTTCTCTGCTGGCGGAGAATCCATGCTGCCTCCTCCAAGCTGGAGGTGCTCACTGAGCATGCTTGTCTGGCATCTGTCATGCAGTTCTAGGGTTGGCATTTGAGTCTGTCCTTTTACAAAATTATGAATTTCTGAGAGTTGGGGGATGAAGCTTTATACATTTCTATATCCTCAGTACCAGGCTTATATAGGTGTGCTAGAGTATTTGAGAACAGAATGGAATTAGTATATTTTTCTCATTGAGATAGAATAAAGTATTCTGGTAACAAAACAGTGGGCTCCAATCCATCTGAGATTCAGTCATTTAGAAGTCAAAAAAATGTTTTTGTGCATAACAGAACACACTCTTAGCCCATAAATACCTTGTGAAACACCTTATTTTTTGATAAACTGGATCGGTGTTTGTGTGTATAGACATTGATGTGTGTATAGAACGCCATGGGCAAATGACCATCACTCGCAGATGAGGCTGCAAGGTCACCAGGATCAGAAAAAAAGATAGTGTACCCACTAGTTGGATCTCCAGTAGAGGGAAATTATTTTAAACAGATTTTTTTCTTCTTCTAAAGCACCCATTTATATTGTGAAGGCATTCTCATTCACTTCAAACTCCAATTTCTTATGTACCACTTGCATTTCATACTATGTGATCTTTGCCTCCATCTGTAAAGTGCACACAGGGTGTGGGGCACTGTAAGTTCTTGCAGATTTGACCCAAAGCCTGGATGCTTCTCCATGCAAAGGGTGGGGAGGACTCTGAGAGGCAGTTTACTGGAACAGAACAAAGAGTAAACCACTTAAAAGTGAAAAGGTAGCAAATTATCTTCCGTGATAGCCTAAACTAAAAAAAAAATTTTTTTTGAAAAGGAGGCTAACTGGGTTTGATGAACACCTTCATTTCTTATTCTTCTGATGCATGCTCCCTTTACACCAAAGGACTTTACATAGTTCATCTTAGACTCTCTCTGGTGATATCGTCTCCTGTGAACCTGGAACTGTCCCAGTCCATCTTGAACGTGTTGGTCTGAAATTCGAGCTGCCTTGGCCTATTAGTTGATGTACCGTCAGTTTTTGCTAATAGAGAAAGTATACTGAGTTTCAAAATGAAGAAATGGAAGATAAACAAGTCTAATCATACAATGAGAAAACACTAGTCAGCTGGCAGAAGGCAAGTACCATGACAACTTTTATAGAAAAAGTACATCCGAGGAAGAATGCTAGGCCCTTAGGGATTTTTTTTTCCTCCCAGGAATGGTCAGAATGGCTTCTCCTTTTGCACTCATCACAATTGTCACAATTCTCTATGAGACTAAGGGGGCATCTTGATATGCAGAGGGTTTCATGTCTATTTCACTGTTTTACAAGGGAAAGGCCTTGGTGCAAAACCAGTTAGAGTCAGGAATTTGTGAAGATTCTGGTCCTTGCTTCTAGGTCACGGTTGAGTCTAGAACAACTCATGCAGCAAGTGCTATCTATAATTGGGTTTCTTCCTTAGAAAAGCTCATTACAAACTAAAGCAATAATGACAAAACTCCCAAAGGTCACCAAGCAATAAAAATCCTTATTCATAGCTGTACCCTCCCCGCTGACGCCAATATACCTCATTGAATGGCAAACTTTGCCCAGTGGACAACATTTTTCCTGGATGCCTTTTTTTTTTGTGGGCACCTCACAGTTTGAAGACAAAGAAAAATTGCAGGAAATGCACCTGCAGTTCCCCATGGTGCATTCAAGTAGGGTGCTTCCTGGTTGAAAGATTGGCTGATGAAAGCAAACATGGCACATCCAGCCCACGGCCCGAGAGTTAGTGCAGGCATGGTCTTGGGACTGGATCTGCTGTCCTGGCTGGGTTCATGGGGGATAAAGTATCTGGACTTTCATGGCTGGTGTTTCTCTCCAGGGTCATGCCCCAGTAAACTCGCTGCTGGGTGGTGCTACTCTCAGGTACTCTGCGTTTTCAGCTGAAGGCCCCTTAAAGATGCCATTGGACTTGGTTTCCTTTGGAAAGAAGTCCTGCTGGTAGTCGGGGTTGTCCAGGCTGATCTGGTGGCTGCCTGTCTGGGCCCAGCGGGCAGGAGCGTCCGTGCTGCTGGTGTGGGCAGGGTAGATGGTGTTGAGATACTCGGGGTTGTCCACTGCATTGCTGCTGGGGTTCTGGTAGTGTGGGTCTCTGCCAGGAGCTGCATGGAGAGGCTGGTTATGATAGACTGGGTTCTGGACAGAGCCTGCAGGCCTCTTGGGAACACACTGGTTGACATATTCTGAAAATTTAAAAAAAATCAATAGTTAAACCAGCCAAGCATCAGCCTGAGAGAGCTGAGGTCTCCCCAGCTATATTTCTACCAATAAAACAGTTCTTAGTGAGCATTCTGCCATGAGTGTGAGTATATACAGATCAGGACTGCCTGTATAAAGTATAGAATAGAAAATAAGTTTCACATGTCAAGAATGGAGCTGCAGCACAACAGGGATGAAGACTCAAACTGACAAGTCTGCTTTTCAACACTCAAGAGGACGCTTGACAATGATCACACCCAGCTGCCATATACTCACACGCAGATGCCTTTAAACACTCACACACGTCTACTTTCTCACACCCAAACACACAACCACACCCATCTCTACTATTTGTTTCAAACACCAACAAAACTTTAGACTCGGCCTAAGATACAAATCTCCAGTGAGTAAGCAGCTTGCTGTGACAGAGCATGTGCTGCCCACTGCTGGGCATCTCTGCCCACTTCTTCCTCAACCTTAGCTGCACACTACCCCTCTCAGTCTCAGGGCAGGCCCTGGATCAGGCCAGTCGGGGCTAAGTCACTCACCAGGGGCAGGCAGGAAGGCATCATTCAGATTCTCCTCAGGCACGGTGCCAGTCGGGTCAGAGCTGTAGCGCTGCAGAAAGCCATCCTCCTTGAGGGGGCAGCTCTGCTGGGGAAGGGAGCAAAGTTAAAGGTTTCAGTGTAAAATGGTGGGAGACTGTTCCATGCAGATTCAGACTCGGCAGGGTTGAGAAAGGGCCCAAGAGATGCTGTGCACCACCCCCCACACCCCGCCCACCCAACACACACACACACACACACACACACACACACACACACTACTCGCCCACGCCAAGGGCAGGAAACTGTTCCCTGCTCTCTGGTGGGGCTTTCTAGAGAGACAAACAGCAATAATCTCTGGTCCTTCAGAGAGCAGCCATAAACACACAGGGCTCCTATTACTTTAAATGTATTTAGAAGCTGAATTTTAAATTCACTGTATTTTTTGTTAGGAAAATTTAAGCAGCCAGTGTGGCTTGGGTCATCTGTTCTGGTCAGTATGTGTGGGCTAGAACTCCTTATAATGCACATCTGCACCCATTGAATGCAGCCCCTGACAGAGCTGGAGGCCAGAGCAGGCTCCGAGAATCTGTATTTTTACCAGCTTCTTAGGGTGCTGCAGGTAAGAACACTCTTATCACAACAGTGATAGGTGATAGCTAGTGACTGGCCTCAGGGCAGGGTGAGGGACCCACAAGGGGAAGAAACCACACAGGAAGATAATGAAGATCACCTGGGTCAATGTACACTAGCTCAGAACTACAAGGGATTCCTGTTTATTGAGTGTGTGTACATACCCCATTTCTGTTAATGCAAGTCACGGTGGAATTGTTGCTGGTGGCACTCTGAAAAGAAAAGGAAAAAAAGGGAAAGTTGTACACTTGCACAATTCTCATGCTCCTTGCTGAGGAGGGGAGGTTGTGTAGTGGATCTACTTAAAGGTGCTTAATTTTGTCTTGGCTTACTACCTTTTGAAAAAAAATCAGGTTTTTACTTTTGATTTAATTGTGCTCCTTAGTGGTCCTAAAATGATTACAATCAAGTTATTGCAAAGTGATAAAATAATACATGTATCAATTTAAAAATGGAATCATTATACAACTAACTCAGACATAGCTTTACCACTTGGATAAAAACCCACTGGTCTCTCATCAGAGAGCCCAGCTGCAGGAGGAGCATTTCCTTCATAACTCAATCAGCTCAAACTTGCAGATACAGCTTGAGGGTGTATAAAGATTCCATACCAGGGAGCTCAGGAGGGGCGTGCGGGAGGTGGATGGGCTGTGGAAGAAGCCCTGCTGGGGAACCAGGTACTCATCAGCATCTACGACATCCTCCATGTCCTCCTCCTCCATCAGGGCTCGGTAGAAGTTGGAGTCCGTAGGGCTCGGCAAGTGCATTCTCTCATCCCCCTGGGGTAGAGATTTTTTGAGACATTATGAAGGTCCAGGGAAGGTTCAGTAACTTTACATATCAAAGCTGTGGAAGTTGACACTAAGGTTAACATTAAGCCAAGCCTTCTAAATGATAGAAAGAAAGGGGAAAATGGCCCTCGAAGCCTTCTTCCTGGTATGCATTGTCAGCGGGTGTCCGCATGTTGGTCAGTTTATTACAGTAACATCTCATTGGTTCTCTGACGTTGTTTTCTTGTAGCTACCACCTCAAATTAAAGCAGTAAAATTCCTTGGCATCTGAAAGTCTCTGGCATGAGATGTTCACAGCTTGTGGGGCAGCAGAACAGTTGCACCAACACCTTTGACCAAGTGTGCTGTGCAGCTAGGTGTTGGGATTTTATGATTTATAAGAAACAAATATTTGTCCTTTGATCCTGTTCCTGGTGCCAAAACTTGGATTTTCCAGTGAGCTGAGAAAGATCCTGGAGTCTTTTGTGACTAGTGATGTAATTTCCCTGAAAGAACCAGCCAATGAGGTCACTCCCCAGCAGCACCAATCCCATGGTTAGTGAGTTGGAAATTTTAGTGGTGCCCCGACACCCTCAGGCAGGGGTGAGCAACCTGAGATTAACCAAGGCTTCAATCTGATTTATGCAGTGAACCTGAGACTAACCAAGGCTGCAATCCGACCTATGCAGTGAACCTGGGATTAACCAAGGATGCAATCTTACCTATGCAGTGAACCTGAGATTAACCAAGGATGCAATCCTACCTATGCAGTGAACCTGAGATTTACCAAGGTTGCAATCCAACCTATGCAGTGAACCTGAGACTAACCAAGGCTGCAATCCAACCTATGCAATGAACCCTATTAGCCTTCTGAAAGGATGAGCTTCCAGAAGTTCTTGAGTTAGTGACTGGGAGAAGCTTCTGGAAGGATGGTGCCCCCAGAGGCCAGGGAAGCTCTGCAGTCCCTCCCTGTATATTGCCTTACACACCCATTCACCTGGAATTTCCTGCCTTGTATCCTTTTATTTAAAAAATAAATCATAGGGCCCAGAGAGATCATGATAGGTTGAGGTGCAGGATGTGTACGTGGTGATCCCACGACTGACCTCTGGTACCAGACTGTCTCCTGAGCATCATAGGATGCAGGCAGGAGGCCCCGAGCACTGCAAAATGTGGTCCAGGAGGCGCCAGGCATCCCTGAAAGGCCCCTGGTGGTCCCTAACACTGCATAGTCTAAGCAACAATGCACCCTCCTGCCCTTTCTTTGAGCCACTGGCATCAGGGGCTGACAGTGACCCCAGATCTCTGAGCACCACTTGGGAACCCTCTCCCGCAGCAGAAATTATTCACTCTGTGAGTAATGCGGGTTTCTGCACCCATGAGGCACTCTCATATATGAACCCATCCCTGAAGCAGGATGTGGAAACATAATGCCAGTCAACTCAACTATCAGTAACTTTGTAAATCCCAGTTCCTTAATAATTTTTTTTTTTTTAAAGGGCAATGTCAGAAACATGGGTGGTAGCCTAAATCTGGGACTAGAGTCTGAGGTATTGGGTGGAGTGTGTGGGGAGCAACTTCTCAGCCACCGAAACACTCTGAGTGATTAGCCCCTGAGCAAAGAAGCCTTGTTGCTGCATCTCATCTCTCCATACCCCTTCACATATGTTGGAACTACAGAGCAACACCTTTGGGTGGGATTCCATATATTTTGCTTTTCAGTGAATCTTTAATACTACCCTGTGTGTTTGGTTTTGCTCATCTAATGTGTGGTGTCAGGGATCTAAAGCTGAGCATTGCCAGACAGACACCAAAGTCCGCTTCTTCATCTTACTGACTTAAGGCGTTAGCTAACCAACATTTGGAGAGCACCTCGGGCTGGTGTGCGCGGGTGCAGTCTGGACAGGAACTACACCTGTCAGTGGAGCAGGTGAACACATCGGCTTCACTCATGCTTGGGCATGAACTGACCTTGCCTGCAGACACTGGGGGATTTAGTCAGATGACCTAGGGAGCAGTGGCCACAACTCTGGGACTTGTGAGAGCAACTTTTCCCATGAAAGTTTAGCAATACCTGGATGACAAGGTAGCGCTGGGGGTCTCGAGCCATTTTGGTGAATTCAATGATCAGTTCACGGAACTTTGGGCGACTGTCTGCATCTATCATCCAGCCTGGAGAGCAATCAGGAAAACAGGACCATTAAAACTCAAGAAATATGATAAAGAGGGTCTTTGTGGGGAGATCCCCTGAAACCAGATAATGATAAAAAACCAAACCCAAACAAAACAAAATCTACCAGATCTTTGTGTTAGGCTTTTTATTCTTGGGAAAATTGCTTGCTAGCTATTTAAAGGCTATGCACAACTTTGTAAATCATAGTGCCTGAATAGAAAATAAAATCAAAGAAAACCATAATAATGTGATATATCAGACTGGAGAGATACTAACATCCCCTACTCTTTGGCATTCTGGCACTACTGCCTCTGTGACGGTGCAGCAGTATGACTGCAGGAACCTATAATGTCAACTCTCTAATCATGAGACATTACCATATCTGTGTTCTAGGTGTCTAGACATGGTAGAACATGGTCATATTCTAGGTCCTCACTTGGAAAATATCCTTATTGGTGCTCATTCAGAAGTTCTGAGAGCTGGAAACCAGATTAAATTTAGAGCAATCTAAAATGTGGAGATTCCACCCAATCATGCGGGTGTTTTCACTGATCAAATGCACAGTCATCCTGCCACATGGGTGGTGGGTGTTTTTGGGGACTTCCACAGGAGAAGGCTGCAAGAGGCCACTGATTACGTAAGGGTTCGGTCTACATTAAACAGATCAGAGGAAGAGCTACCAACTGGAAATCCTTGGACCTCTTGAGGGTTAATGTTTATTTTCTATCATTAGGATGTCAAGCTATTTTTGGTCAGACTGCTATGTGACCTTAGACAAATCATGTAACCTCTAGATTCCCAATTCCTCAGCCCAGAGCTAGTGAATTAAAATAGATGACCTCTGTGCTCCAAAGTTCAGAAAGGCATTGACATTTCTGTGAACTCAGCTTTAGCATGTTCCTTTCATAGGTAAATGCTCATTGTATGAGTAACATTGCCTATAGCATCCACCAAATGCAGGGTGCTGTGAAATAACAGTATGGTAGTATCACTTAAGTAACACACTCTATTTGGATTAAAATGTTTACTTATGCAGAAGACCTCATTTCTGAAAGGTTTAAGTAAGAACATAAATGTTGATTTTTATCTGCTGATTGTGGTTACTCAATGTTAGGCATTTAAAAACATTCAGTCTGTCTGGTAACAGGTTTCAAAATGTGGGACAGTTTTTTTGTTTTAATGGACCGACTCAAATAATAGAATACTTGGTTTAATGGCTTATGGCAGCTTTGTTTTACTTATTTTCTTTATAGGAGCAAAGGTCAGTCAGTGTTCAGTGAGTGAAGCAACTTCTTTTTAAAGAAACTGCAAGAGGGTGTTAGAGTGTGTCTGGACTTGAGAGATTTCCTTCAGGGATGACAGGAATGTTTTTCTTTGGGGAAACTGGACGTCTGGACCATTTTTCTGAAGGCAGCAGCACATCTGCAGACACCAGACATCCTGGGTGCCGAGGCCCAGCTGTGCAGGTTGGATGGCCTAGGGGTCACTCACACTTGACCATGATCATGTAGACGTCAATGGTGCAGATGGGGGGCTGCGGGAGGCGCTCTCCTTTCTCCAGGATGGTGGAGATGTCACTCGCAGGGATACCATCATAAGGCTTGGATCCAAAAGTCATCAGCTCCCAAACAGTGACTCCTAGAGGATGCAGAGGTCACTCATGAGTCAGCAATAATGGAGATGCCTTAACTGGACATCACTAGTTCTGTGGCCAGTGTTCAGCAGCCTTTATGTGTGTCGCCTGGGGCAGCTTTCTTTATTCCAAAGATAGAGACTACAAACAAGACTATAGATATGAGTCTTTAAATAACAACAGCAACAAATCCTGGAAACAACAAAGAAAATTCTCCTTATGATAAATATTGAAAACCTATGTTTTAAACTCAATCATGATTTCTGAAAAAGTCAAAGGTGTAGTAAAGCCTGTAGAGACAAAATTCTTTCTAGAAAGAAAAATGCTGTAGGATTCTGGTGCCCACCTAGTCAGTCAGGATGTTTATGGTGCCCCAGTGACAATCAGGGTGAAAAGGAGACAGATTCCCAGTAACACGGGGTGTGGGCAGACATAGGACCCTTGCTATCTACTGACCTGCCATCGGTCCAAAGACTTTCTTTAGACCTCGATTCTTGAGGCACATTACCATAGATATGTCTGGGTATTTCGAGGACATTTCCAGAACATTGTGACTTGTATTAACTATAAAGAATGCAAGATTGTAAAAGGAAGGAAATGCTTTTCTGTCCCTTTCTACTAACTAGTTCATATGGCCTTGGAGAAAGAAGAAAATCTTATTTCTAGGGTCTATGAAGTCAATCAATCATCATCTACCTTGGTTTGAACATGTGTTTAAACATGTACAACAGCTTCCCTTCTCTTGGGTTTCAGATCAGAGGGAAAAGGAGAGAAGGTGGTGGATGATGTGTGAGACTGAACGGTGGGATGAATCCTCTTCTTTTCCACTGTAATGTGGAATTTACAGATGCTTAACTGATTACATTTTTTCATATATTGGACTGAAGAGTAGAGTAATGAAAATGTCTTTAAGGCAAAATTTCATGTTCACAGTCCAACAATTCTAGGCCATGACAGCAGCTCACATTCATTCAATGGGACAGTTTCCACTGAGGGTGGAGGAAGGGAAACACATGGCTGTTAGGGTGACTCTGACTTTCTGCTATTGGCTGTCATTATTCAAAGGTCTCGGTTCACTGAGTTGATGGTTATTCCATCTCTGCAACAGGTGTGGGCTGTCAGGGTGCATCCAGTGACTGCAGCACACCTGGAGGGAGAACATGGTCCACAGGGTGGCAGGACCACCTGTCTGTGGCTTCAACCACCATCAGGGCTTCTGACTCCTGGAGCATACTTGGGAAATTAAAAAGTTGAAGCAGAGAAGAAAAGTTTGAACAGAGTTTAAAGACATATGTTTTTCCTTCTCTCCAGGGTATAAATGAAAATATGTAAAATTGAAGAGAGGCCATTTTGGAGCTCTGGTAGATGCTGCTGAGAGGTAGAAGGGAGAGAAGCCTGGGGTCAGGGTGATGACATGAAGGTCCCCTTGTGTAAGACCCAGGGTGGAAACAGAAGGCACATCTTGAAAATAACCATGCAACAGAATAGATTTATCTTCCTCTTTAGTTCATGCATTATAGGCAGTTCAGCTCACAAGGTTATGCAGAATATTGAATTACTTATTCATAAATATCTCTGTCTTTGTAAAGTTTTCTTTCTAGCAGAAGAGACAGATGGTTACCCTATGAAATAAAATGGTACATCTGGAATATGAGGAAACAAATATCTATGCAACAGATATTAAATATACAATCTCCTAAGTGATTTTTGTTTATTTGTTTAAGGGCTATTTCTGGAAGTGCTCAGAGCTTGGTTCTTTCTGAAAATACATGGCACCTGTAGAGAGGATTCAGAGTGGAGTGTGGATGGTGTGTTTGGGGAGAAGCTGAGTTGGTCTGTGCAGGACACAGTGGAGCCTGGAGGCATGGGCGTTCAGGAGAGGCTCTTGCCAAATCAGGCAATAGCCACCTTTTCCCTTGTTTTATTTTTCTCACATATACCTGTTTGCCAGGTCTACCCTGAAACAAATGATTCCATCTGCTAAAGCAAAGAGCAGGACCAGAATAAGGCCTTCACAAGTCCTGTGTCCTCTGAGGGGAACTCCTCCCAAAAATCTACTGAAACTCCCAGAATTCTCCCAAAATTCTCTTCTGAAACCAGGTCCATAGGAAAGTGTCAAAAATTTGGCCTGATTTAGCAGGTGGTGGCACTTTTTGAGTTCAGTTTTTCCTCCCTTCCCTTACCCTTTCTCTTGAGGGTTGGCCCAGGGTGATGTTTAGTATGGACTTTTTTGGTACATTTACTTAGTGTGATGGACACACACCAACAGTTACACTATTATTGATCACCACCTTGCCAGAAAGTTCTCAGATGGCAGAGCAAATAACATAAATCACAAGCCCAGCCAGCTGAGCCTCAGTGAAAATCCATTTACATCTAATTTCAACTCACCATAGCTCCAGACATCACTCTGGTGGGTGTAAATTCGGTGTAAAATTGATTCCAAAGCCATCCACTTGATAGGCACCTTGGGATGATAGGAGATAAGTAAAGAGACAACTATTAGCTTCCCTCTGTTAAAAAAAAATAAACTGCACTGTTCCAATGACAAAAGTCTAAGAAAAAGGCCACCCTACTCCATCTACATCACAGCCTGGCTGTGGCTCCCAGCTGGAGGAACAGGCGCCCGGTCAGTCAGACAACAACGAGGCTGTTCCACAAGCCCAGCCAGTGTCATAACACTGGAGAAGAGATCCGTGGTTCCTCAGCAGACAGGGGACAGGGCCAGCTGTTCACCATGCATATCCAGTATCTGCATAGTAAAGTCAGGAAGGCATCTCTGCTCAGCTGTGTCCTGAGGCCTGTTGGCAGAGTTCTTTCCTTTTTGGTGGGAGAGAGTCTACAGCATCTCTTGGAGGAGGAAAATGGCTCCATCAAGGCCAGTGATGGGAGAGAGTGAAGTCTATGTGGCACGTGAACACTAGCAAGACTATAACTTCCCTGGCGCATGCCACCCTGGTGTAGCATTTCCCAATAGCTCCTCTAAAGGGAAATGTCAAACCTTGGTGGAGGTCTCAGACTGTAGCGGATCTCTATAGCCTCCTAGATGATTCAGCCATGGGCCTCCCAGCAAATTCCCTCCCCTTACTCCCCTTAGCTCCCACTACCAGAGAAAGGGACATCTCAGATTGTCCTCACACCCAATTGTCCCTGCTGGCAAGAGAGATGTCTTACTTTGCCTCCTTCTGCATGGTATTCCTTCTCTTCGGCACCAAGGAGTTTGGCCAGCCCAAAGTCTGTGATTTTGACATGCTGTGGGGTCTTCACCAGAACATTCCTGGCTGCCAAATCACGGTGCACCAAGCGCCGATCCTCCAAGTAATTCATGCCCTAAAATGGAGCCAAGCAGGAACAAGATGAGCTGTTGCTTCATGCGGGCTCATGAAGACAGAGCCCCTGCTCCACTGGGAGTTCCAGCCTCAACACCCACAGGCAAGGCTGTGTGAGCACCAGAGAGGCAACCCACGCACGGTCTGCAAACTGCTCTGGGTGACATGCTCACTTGAACCTTGAAACGTGTGATATTTGATGTTGAATGGCAAAAGGCAAATAAAGGAAGATAGATCTTGCTGTTGACAAATTCACTTTTCTTCACTCACTTCAGAAATTAAGTGGCTGAGACGGGGCTGTAGAACTTTTGGGGCTGCTTGTCTGTGCCCGGTGCTCACCTTCCCTGCACCTCTTCCCTCCCTGGTTGGCCTCCTCTTCCCTGGCTGGCCTCAACTTCCCTGCCTGGCCTCCCCTTCCCTGCCTGGCCTCCTATTCCCTGCCTGGCCTCCCATTCACTGGCTGGCTTCAACTTCCCTGACTGGCCTACCCTTCCCTGTCTGCCCTCACTTCTCCCACATGGGAAGACAAAACTTCCACTTTCCCCTCTTCTATGTGGCACAGGCCACTCTTGTGCCAGTCTTACTCCATTCACTACAATGAAGATTTTTATCACTGGGTTTTCTCTCTCTTTTGAAAAAAAGCAACTGATTTTCTGAGGTGCCATAAGCTTCCCCCTACCACAACCTCCTGAGTCAGTATCACAGTAATAAGAGATAAAATTCAAGCGACTGAAACTCCACAGCCTGCCGGACATCTAGTGCACAAGCACTGGGCGGGTTGGGCTGCTCCTGGCCTGGGCTTCTGCCTTCCTTCAGTGGTACTTTTACTGCCTCAGGGAGTGGCGAGGCCAGGAAGGCCAGAGCTGTGGGTTCCTCTGCCCCGGATGCTCTCCTTTCGTTGGTTTTTCTGCTCTCCTCTTTCAGGCAGGAGAGCAGACCATTTCCAAAAGTTAATCCTGGAAAACTCTCCAGCAAGAGTGGACAGCACAAACATGCTCACAGAAGCTAACTGAATGGGAATAAATGGTTTGCTCTCTGATTATTATTTTTTGGTAGCTTTGAAGGGATCTGCATTTTCCTGCAATTGCATGGGATAGACATGGATGAATTCCAATTTTTTCTGGCAATTTCTTTGTTTCCTTTAGCACAGACCTTAGGTGTGATGATTAGTTAGCTTGCCTCACCAAGTGAAATTTTTTTTAAAGTCTCTCTTGAGCATAACCAGTCATACAAAAGTAAGCTTTTATAATGCTTATTGAGAAATTAATCTTTGGAGGCCATTTTGGAATGTTTTAATGTCCTTCTTTTATTGAACAAAAATAGTTTATTTCACATTCTCATTTTCATTGTACTATCTAAAAAACTTCTGAATTTTAAAGCTGCTGCTGGACTTAAGCTTCTTTTCCTAAGATTTCTCATGCATCAGGATATAAACTAACAGGACTCACTTCTTGCCTCCTCCACCCCCACAAAACAAAGCTGGCAGATTCTGAAAGTTCCAAATGGGGATTCTTATTGAGGGAGGGAGGGTGAACAGAGAAAACGCTGCCCCAACAGAGGACGGCTCATGCCCTTCCTACCCCCTCCCTCTGGCCCCGCACACACGGCCTCTTTGCCAGCGACAGTGCTCTTTGATTCACAGGACCCTCACTGAGTTCTCTAGTGGTCCCTGTGGTTTTGTAACAGAATAAGGCCTCTAGTTATGATCTAATTATGAGTCCATTAAAAAGATCTACTTTTTTCCCACCTCTTTACTAGGGCTACCTTTTCTTGCCTTTTCACCTGATTAGACTCAACAGCTGTATTGTCATTTATAGGCAATAGATTGCTTTCTCTCTCTCCTACTTTATTTCTCTCTCTTTGTTTTCATCCAGTACCACTTTTGTGAATTACTTCACTGCACAATTCCTAAAGAATTCCTCTATGGAAGGTACTGTGTAGGGCTGTATGCATGAATTACATAGTAACACAAATGGATGGTGTAGAAATCACACATGTGCATGGACTGTGTGGTGTTACACACACACAGTTTATGTAGAACTACACACACATGGACGGTGCATATTCTATGTACAGAGTTGTACGAGTATGGACTATTTATTGCACATGCATGATTGATCATGTTCAGTTATACACACATTGACTATGTTGAATTGCACATCTACAGAATTAAATCGCATGCAAGACTTTTCATATATCAGTCAGCCTTTCTCTATCCCTATCCTCTTTATTAAATTTTGTGGGTTTTTTCAGCTAAAGCAATCCTTGGAGAAAATAATATGGGAAGTAAAATTTCTTTTCCTAACTGTAAATTCTACTATTAAGCTATAGCAATCAAAACTGTGTGGTACTGTAATACAGACTCTCAGAGCAACAGAGCAGAACCGGGACCTGGGAGATAAAAATCCTCTCAGGTCAAAGGACAAAATCAAAAGACCCTACTGTCGCCTGCTTCCCCTAGGTGGCTTCATGGCCGTCATCCTCCAGAGGCCATTGGACAATCAGGTTTGGGCCCTCACTGACGAGACACATGGGGCCTCACGAGATGGGGGTGGAGCCGGTCCTTTCCTCCCCACCCCAACGAGACCCCACGTTGCCGCACACAAACGGCTTCTCTGGCTGCTTAACAGCCATGATCCAAGAGACTCAGAAACAAATCTTGAAACCCAGTGGCTTTTGGCAGAAATGCATCCGGATCCCGCAGTAGGTTACTGTCACCAGGCCATCCCAGGGAGGAAAGGGTGTTGTCCCTCCATCTGCTACCCCTAGGCAGCTCAGTGGCCACCATCCTCCAGAGGCCACTGGTCAGGTCTGGGCCCTTAGTAACGAGACATATGGGGCCTCACGGGATGGGGGTGGAACCAGTCCTTTCCTCCTCTCCCAATGAGACCTCAAGTCACTGCCCATGAACAGCCTTTCTGACTCCTGATCAAGCTGCTTAACGGCCATGATCCCAGAGATTCAGGAACAAATCTCAGACCCAGCAGGTTTTGGCAGAAATCCCTCCAGATTTAAAAATCCCTCACAGAATTTCAAAATCGTGTGGCCACTACTGCAGCCACACTACATCATATGTTATTCATAACCAGCAATAGAAAACAAATTGTCTACTGTTGCCTTTTCAGCAGATCTGAGTGTTGGGGTAAAATCCCAAATAATAATGGTGGGTCTGGTGTCAAAATATTGAATGTCATCAAAGTAGAGAGAGAGAGAGTAATGTGGAAATCATCTGCTCCACAGGTAGGGGGAGGGTTTGAGGTGGGGGTATACTGGGGTTTTTGGTGGTGGAGAATGGGCACTGGTGAAGGCACAGGTGCTTCATTGTATGGCCGAGACTTAAACCCGAAAGCTTTGTAACTGCTCTCACAGTGATTCACTGTCACTGTAACTGTCCTCCCATTGTTCATTGATTTGCTCGAGCAGGCCCAGTAGCATCATTTTGAGACTTGTTACTGTGTTTGCCATATCAAATACGTCATGGGGAGCTTGCCAGGCTTTGCCGTGTGGGTGAGATACTCTTGGTAGCTTGCTGGGCTCTCTGAGAGGGGTAGAGGAATCAAACTCGGGTTGGCCATGTTTGTCGCTTGCAAGGCAAATGCCCTACCCACTGTACTATAGCTCCAGCCCCTATGGTGATTCAATAATTAAAATTATAAAAAATGAAAAATAAAAGTAAGGTGGAGTTCATGCCCAATTCAATCAGCTAATTAGTGGCTGAATAAATAGCAGTATTCCTACATAAAAAAGCCCCTACTGAATGGTAAAAATATCTCCACACCACATATAAGATATGGGGTTCATAATCATGATATATGAAACACTCACAAAGCTCAATAACAACAACAAGACAATAATGCCATCAAAAACTGGGAAAGAAAGATGAAGAGCCACTTCCCCAAGGAGATGTAGATGCCTAATTAAATAGCATGGGAAAAAGTGCTTGTCATCACTGACTAAAGGGCAATGCAAATCAAAGTAATGATAAGCTATCACCTCCCACCAGACACTACTGGTGCTGGTGGGAATGTCTGAGAAAGGAATCTTCACTTGCTCCTTGTTGTCTGGTTCTGTTTCTACCAAGGGCAGTGTAGACACTTCTCAAGAGAAAAGATATAGGATTATCATATGGCTTAATTATTCAATTTCCTGGTCCCTACCACTCAAATACAAAAACATTACTTTGAAAAGAGGTATGTGTGTCTATGTTCACTGTAGCACTTAGAACAGTATCTAAGATATGAAAAGGACTCAACTGTCCATTAATGAATGAAAAAGGTAGAGAAATGATGATATCTATGAACCTGATGGAATATGCTCTGCACGAGAAAAAAGCGCAAGAAGCAGTGAGATCAGTGTAGGTGAGACTCGAGGGCATCATGTTCAGAGGGACCAGCAGAGGGAGGAGAGTGGTGAGGGATAATCGCACTCATCTGAAATATAGAGAGAGGAGACAAAGAAACAAATGGTACCAAACAAAGATAAATCTTTAGCCGCAGATAACAAAGCTTATTGATGGACAGTGAGGGGAGAAGAGAAGGGGAAAGAAGATCACATGGGCATGAAATAGGAAAGCTGGTGTAGGTTTGTGGGTACGCTGGTCATGGTGAGTGGTTGTGATTTTGTACATCAATACAGTCAACTTTAACACTATTATAACAGCCTAAAATATAGTGAAGGAAAACAATTCATTATTTAAAAAAATTAAAAAATTAAACTTGTTATTTTTGAACATTCACTAAAACCAAGAGGGACATCAGAAAGCCCCATTAACTAATCTTAATTCCAACTCTTCAAATGCCTAACAGAAAGAAGATAGCACACAGGTACATTTTTACTAAAGTTTTCTAAGGAGCAAGTGACAGTATTTTACTAAAGTCTGTGGATAAAGAAATGAGTAAGTAATAACATTTGACTCCAGCTAGTTGAAGAGTGAATGAGTGGCTGATGGTGACAGGGCTGACACTGTGTCATGCAGTGCTGAGCTCCTTCGAGCAAGTGAGC